CCAGCTACTTGGGAGGCTGAGGCAGGAGACTCACTTGAGCCCAGGAGCTGGAGGTTGCTGTGAGCTGTGATGCCACGGCACTCTACCCAGGGTGACAGCTTGAGGCTCCATCTCAAAAAAACAAAAATAATAAAGTCTAGAGGCCACCCACATCCCTTGACTAGGGGCCCCTTCTTCCCCCTTCAGAGCCAGCAGCATATAGCATCTTCCAGTCTCTCTCTGCCTGTCTCCTCTGACTCATATGAGAGCCCTGTGAGGACACTGGGCCCCCTGGATCATCCTGGATGACCTCCATCTCTTGACTTAATCCCACCTGAAGAGTCCCTTCTGCCATGTGAAGTGACACAGACACAGATCCCAGGCATTAGGATGGGGATGTCTGTGGGGGCTTGAACAGATGTCAAGACAGTGATGCTGTCCTTTTAGGGACACTAGCTCACCTGAGCACTGTACCCTAGTCCTGAAGCTGATCTGGCTTGACCTCCCCACTCACCTTCGCTGTCCCTTCTCCTCACCAGCACCGACTTCACTGGCTTCATCAGCACATCCTGCCTTGGCAGCCGCTTATAGCCAGACACCAGGGCCAGCCCATTGGCCTCAGGGCCACTGCCTGGGCTTCTGCGCCCACGGCTGCCAGCCCGGCTCCGACGGCCAGCCCTTGGCCTGCGGGAGCGCTCACTCCAGGAGCGACCAGAGCCACTGGATGAGTCACCCTCATAGCCCCGGCCATGGTCTACATCTTCCAGCCTCTGGGGCCCATCCTCCTCGTCTGAGTCCTGGCGCCCTGGGCTGGAGGGGCTAGTCTTAGTGGCAGGCAGCTGGATCTTCCGAGGACGCTTCACTGTCTGTCAGGGGAGACAAAAGGGGTCAGCTAGAGGCAGAGGCCAGGAGAGGCACTGCCCACCCACTGAGTGGCCCTGGGGACGGTCCCCTCCCATTTGGCAGCTCACTCACAATGTTGGCCATCTTGGTGCAAGTCTTGAGTATCTGAATGGCAACAGAGGAGGTGACATTCTCCATGGAGACCCCATTCACCATGACGATTTGGTCTCCTGTCCTGTGTGGGGAGGAAAGTAGGTCTTAGAAAGGCCTCACGGAGCAGCCCCTCACACTAGGGCTTCCCTGGGAGCCTGGGAGGGTCCCTGGCACCTCAGGTCTACAAGTCCTGGTCCTAATTCATTGTCATCCCCAGATTCACAAAGTCATTTACCCTTATGAGCCTCAGTTTTCTCATCTGTCAAATGGGGCCTCGTAGAACCCATTATAATAATAGAATAAAGCTGCAATTATACCTGGCATCTCACTTTTTTCAAGTTTCTCCCCTCCATCCACTTTCTGGGTTTTTTGCCTTTTCTTTTTCTTTTTTTTTTTTTTTTTTGGAGACAGAGTCTCACTCTGTCACCCTGAGAGGAATGCTGTGTCATCAGTCTAGCTCACAGCAACCTCAAACTCTTGGTCTCAAGTGATCCTCCAGCCTCAGGCATCCCCTCCCACGTAGCTGGGACTATAGGCATCCACCACAATGCCCAGCTAATTTTTCTATTTTTAGTAGAGATGGGGTCTCATTCTTGCTCAGGCTGGTCTTAAACACCTGAGCTGAAAGGGTCTTCCTCCCTCAGTCTCCCTAAGTGCTAGGATTATAGACTGAATCATTGCAGGTGCCCTTATTTTTTGCCCCTTTCTTGCTGTCTGTTTCATATTCTTTCTTTCTCTGAGCTGGTCCCCAATTCTAGGCTGAGCTAAGCTCTATCACTCACCAACCACTTGGGATCTGGAGCCATTTTATCAACAGAATTCCCAGCCTCCCACCCGCGAGGGCTCAGAACACCAGGTCTCTTTCCCTCCTGCTCAAAAAAGTTTCCAGAACTTGTTTCAGGAGGGCCCTGGGGCCACTATGATACTAAGAATTGCTGGCTCAGCGCCTATAGCTCAACCGGCTAAGGCGCCAGCCACGTACACCTAAGGTGGCGGGTTCGAATCCCCGGCCCGGACCCGCCAAACAACAATGACAGCTGCAACCAAAAAATAGCCGGGCATTGTGGCGGGTGCCTGTGGTCCCAGCTATTTGGGAGGCAGAGGCAAGAGACTCGCCTGAGCCCAGGAGTTGGAGGTTGCTGTGAGCTGTAATGCCACGGCACTCTACCCAGGGGGACAGCTTGAGGCTCTGTCTCAAAAAAAAAAAAAAAAAGAATTGCTATACAGGACCAAGAAGTACCTTGGGGAAAAGAAGGGCAAGTTGGTGACTGTCCTGCTGCCAACTCCAAGCCCTATGTTGACAGTGCTGGAAGGTGCCAGGCACTTTCCAGACTCCTAGCTTTGGCCCGCATAGATCTCTCCTCCTGACGTGCTCTGGCCCTGCCAGAAACCAGCTGCCTGGATACCTACCGTAGTCTGCCCTCAGCTGGCCCTCCAGGTACCACATCGGACACAACCACAGATCCACTGGGCCTGTCTCGGCCTCCAGAGATTGCAATGCCAAAGCCCCGGCGGGGGTCCTGAGGAGGAGAGACAGGAAGAGCTTTTGTTTCTCCCAGGATAAAGGGTCTCTCCTCCTTTGAGCTGGGACTGCTCTGACATGTCTCAGCACCTAGGCAGGGGGGAGCAAGCCTCACCTTGCAGAGTGTGGCTGTGTGCTGCTCCCAGATGGTCAGCTCCTCCATGTCTGCCACCTGGTCCAGGGGAACAGAAGAGATAGGTGTGAGGCCACACAGGCTCTCAGAGCATCCAGGGGTCCCCAACCCTGGTAGGGAGTCCAGTTCTGACATATCCATCATCAGAGCCTGTAGGCCAATTGCTACTTCTCTCAAGACCTCACTTTTTCATCTGCAAAATGGGTTTAAGCCAGTGATTCTCAAACAGGGGTGACTCTGCCCCCCCAGGGGACACTGAGCAATGTTTGGGGAAGTTTGTGGTGTCACAGTGGTGGGGGGATGCTCCAATGGAGTAGGTGGAGCACCTGCAGTGCCCAGGATGGCTCCATTCGAGAGAAACCAAATCCTCCAAATATCAGCAATGTTGAGGAAGGGGAGACCCTGATTTAAGTGAATCAAACAGTAGAGGGAGCAGAGAAAAGGCTATGCCGTTATACAACAGGTTTGGTCCTGCTTCAGAGCCTTTGCATGGGCTGTGCCCTCTGCCGGAACACTTTTTCCCAAATCCCTCACCTTCTTTGCCCAAATATAACCTCCTTGGTGAGGTCATCCCTGACCACCCTGTTTAGACCTGTAAACCTCTCCCCCACAACACAACACCTAATCCACCTTTTCCTTCACAGAACTAACAACCCTTTGCTCTCCCCGGATTCTCTAGGTTGGGTTTTTTGTTGTTGTTGTTCTTGTTTGTTTTTTGAGACAGAGTCTCAATCTGTCACCCAGGTTAGACTGCCATGGTGTTAGCCTAGCTCATGGCAACCTAAAACTGGGTTCAAGTAATCCTCCCGCCTCAGTCACCCAAGTACCTGGGACTATAGGTATTCACCATGATGCCTGGCTAATTTTTCTTTTTTTTTTTTTTTGTTTTATCTGGCTAATTTTTCTATTTTTAGTAGACATAGGGGCATGCTCTTGCTCAGGCTGGTCTCAAACTCCTGCCTTGAGTGCAGTAGTGTCATAATAGCTCACTGCAGTCTTAAACTCTTGGGCTCAATCGATCCTTCTGCCTCAGCCTTCTCAGTGGCCACAAGTATATGCTACCATGCCTGGTTAATTTTTCTATTTTTTGTAGAAACAGGGTCTTGCTATATTGCCCAAGCTGATCTCAAATTCCTGGGCACAAGCAATTTTCACAGCCTCTAGAATAGCTGGGACCACAGTGCATGCTAGCCCTCTAGGTTTTTATCTTATCTGCTACTGTCCATCTCCCGCTCTAGTGCATCAGCTATAGAAGGAAGAAATTTTTTTCTGCTTTTATTCACAGCCAAGTACTCAGTTCTCTATCTAGAAGTGTCTGGGTCAGGCAGGGATTCAATATGTGTTCTTTGAATACGTGAATGAATGAATAAATCACTTCCTTTGTGCCAGGTGCTTTGAACCTATTGTCTCATTTAACTCATTCATGGAAGGGGCATTCTGTTACCCCCATGTTACAGATGAAGAAACTAAGGCACAGGGCAGTGAAGTCACTTGCTGAGGCAAAAGAGTGCTGATAGAAGGTGGGGCCGTGGGACACCTCAGAACCTGCAGTGCGGATTCTTTTTGTGCCCATGGCTCAAGTGCCAGGTCACTGGGCCTTGACTCTACCCTCCCTTCCCTTCTGGGGGGAGGAGGAGCTTGTAGAAGCAACTCTCCTCCCCCAGACCTGTTTCCTGGAGTGACACAGCTGGTGGGTGATTCTCTCTCTCCCACCTTGGGCACACTCCAGGGCCTCATAAGCTGTAGGATCTCCAGGGAGAGCAACAGCATTCTTGGCTCCCCAGGAATGGGGAGGGTAGACAGGAGAGAAACAAACCTGAGGGCGAGGACCTACAGGACCTACCTTTCACCACAGAGAAAGGCCCTGCAGTTCCCAGAAAGCTGGGTCAGCCCTCATGACCAGCACTCAAACCCCATGTCCACCCCTGGCTTGCTGCCTGTTTCCCCATCTGTAAAATGGGCACCCCTGCCCTGTCTTTCAGGGATGTGGTGCAAGAGGAGAGCATGGAATTAATGTATGAAAAAGCAGAAGGAGCCTCTGGGAACTGGCAGCCACTGTTGTAAGAGGTAATAACAATGACATTCCTCCTTTGCATAATAATGTTACACTATTCCCCCCAGTGAGTGCTTTATGCTTTATCCATTTAATCCTCACGGCGACCTTACAAAGTGTTGCTGCTACTATTCCTACTTTATAGGGAAAGGGAGGCCCAGAGAGGTTCAATAACTTATCTAAGGTCACGCACAGCACCACTGAGGTGACCCTTCGTGTGTCCTTTCTTTTAATCACTTCCCTAAACTACCTGCTTGCTCATTTTTTTTTCCTGAGCTTATTTTTCAAAATGGTCCTTTTTTTTTTACTTGCTTTGATGTTATACTCTGTGTCACTACATAGCCCCTCCACCCTGAATGTTGATGTTTTGGTTTTATTTTAAGAACTGTAGGGAACCAGGGCCCTGGGAGGAAGATGGGGAGTGAGAGGGTGCAGGTGGCCCAGACTTGTCCCTGCTTGTGTGGGTTCATCTCCATGGATACCAGAGGCTTTTTCTAAAACTCTCTGGGGCTCTAAATGCCCTAGGGGTTAAACCTAACCCCACAGCCCACCTCATTCTGGTTTACCTCCAAACCTTAGCTCTGGCTGTCCCCTGTGTCTGTGACACCCTTCAGGGGAATGCCCCATAGTTAGCCCCTGTCACTGGAGGGTCTTGGCTCAAATGCCACCTCCTCAGCCCAGGTAACCAATTTTCTCTGGTATCAATCACTCCTTCCTGTTTTATTAGTTTGTATTCAGGGAATCTAAAACTACCTTTATCTGTGAATCATCATTTGGTGAAGTTCTGGTCTTTCCCCTTAGACCAGTGGTTCTTAACCTTGCTAATGCCACAGCCCCTTAATACAGTTCCTGTAGGTCTCAACCCACAGGTTGAGAACCACTGCCTTAGACTTGAAAGGCATAGCATGTCTGTCTTTCCCGTACTTAAGGCCCAGGTGATTGGCGCATCAGCGCCTCCAATCCAACTTCTTTTCAAGCACCTTGGCAAACTCCTATTCAGCCTTCACAGCCCCAGTAGCACTTTCTCTTCCTCCGGGAAATGAGTCATCAACCTCCACCCCCATGCATACATCTTACATCCCTCCCTCTGGCCCAGTGGTGATTATGGGGCCCTAGGATGTCAGGATCTTGCTGTGTTTGCCCAACACCCTCATGAGAGGCAGTGCCAGGGGCAGGTTCCCAGCACTGTCCCCACAGGACCAGCCATGGTGGGGAGGAGTTTGAGAAACAGGTAAATACTGGAAATAAAAGGCACTTGGGGCCAGGTGGCAGTGGCTTGCAGCCTGTAATCCCAGCACTTTGGTGGTCTGAGGTCAGAGGATCGCTTGAGGCAAGGAGTTCGAGACCAGCCTGAGCAACATATTGAAACCCTGTCTCTACAAAAACAAAAAGCAAAAAAGCACTTCAGGCAGGAACTCAGCAAGATGTGTCCTGAGGTCCTTGCTCCCTTAACCCTACCACTATCTAAATATGCTGGGGTGGGGGTGGGGAGCTGGTCCTTTGTCCCAACCTCCCCCCACAGAGCTGCACCTGGACACAAAGACTGCAGGGGAGATGCCCAGAGGGACCCCCAGAGGCCTTTTAACCAAGTCACACAGCAGGCTGTCCTCTCTGCCCCACCTCCAGTCCTTGCCCCACCTTCCAGAACAATAGTTGAGGGGAGGGTTGCAGGAAACAAAGGTTGGGAAGGAGACTTGGAGAGACTTTCCAGGGAGTCCAGCAGGAGTTGGTAGTGGGAAACAGAACTGCCCGGCCACAGAGTTTGGGGATGGTGTAGCCACACACCCACTTCAGACCCTTCTAGAGCCCAATCTGAGACCCTGGATGGGGGTATGAAGAAGCTGGTTGGTGTCAGGGGTCATGACAGTGAGGTACAAGGAATTGAGGTACAAGATACCAGGGATTGCCCACTCCGACCACCCCAGCTGGTTTGCTGGTCCCAACTGCTGCCTATCCACACAAATGGCTCTCTGTACACAGTTGGCACCCAATAAATTGTTGAAACAGTCCTGCAGCCTCTCCACATTCTCCAAAACCACCCTAGTCCACAAAAGAACTCATTGCCTACCTTTCCACCTCGAGTGCAAGAGCCAAACACTTGGGGACCTGTATGAACTTCTTTGCTGAGAACCAACTGTGTGCCAGGTTCTTAAAACATTTAACTCTTGGAATCTTCCTCATGCTCTTCTTTAAAATGACGATCACCCGTTTTACAGATGAGGTTCAGAGACTCACTGCCTCAAACTTACATACTTGGCAGAAAAACCAAAATTTGAACCCAGATTGAGGGTAAGGGATGCTGACAGAGGAGGCCGCTTTCTGAGGCGGGGTTCTGGGGGGTCGGTGTGGGGGTACGTATGCAGCTTAATATGCTGTAACCTCGGGCTAGCTACCTCATTCCCCTGGGCCTCAGTTTCCCTACCTGTTACGTAGGTAGAGAGTGTTCTGGAGTCTTGGGTGCGACTCCCAAACCGTGCCTTGCTCCTACCCCAGACCGATCCCCTCCCCCTGCCGCCTTGGCGGGCTACTCGCCTGGAATCTCACCGCCATGGTCCGCCCCAGGGCTCTCCAGCGCCCCTGCCCGAGGGGGGCCTGGAAACAGTCAATCAGCCCCCAACCCCGGGTTAGGGGAGGATGCTGGGGTGGGTCTCGGCGGGATAGGGGTCCGGCTGTCGCCCTCCTCCCGCCAGCTTCACAGCTCCTGACTGCACCTGCCCCTCTTCCTCCTCCAGGTCCCCGGTCGGCCCCGCCCCTGCCCAGACCCGCCTCCGGGACGCCTTCGGACTCTCCCGCCACCTCCTCGCATTACAGGATCCAGGCCCTAGGGTAGAATAAGCAGACCGGGTTTTTAATCCAACCAAGCACCTGCCTGCACCCTGGCCTGGAGACCGGCCAAAAACTGCTGCAAGGAAGGCCTGGCAAGAAACATCACTGCGTTCGGAATGGAGCCCGCGATTTGGAAGATTTTTTTTCCATCCGCGAAATG